TTTGTTCACTGCATTTATCATTTTTAGTTGCCAAAAGTTTACACCGTTTTGTACATTTTTGTACGTACGTTTTTGCACGATTCCCCACCAGGAGGGATTGCTTGCTTCTTGCACCTGCAGTATTTGTAGAGATTTACGAGCAAACACGTCCTACAAGCATACTTGTTTTACATGAACGCAACAACATTTAGAATACAGATAAATAACACGAAGCAAAAATTTACGAGCAGTTAGCACTGTTACAACGGCAAGCAAATCACAACTCACTGAAGAACGGATGACTCCTGCAGACGTTTGTAACTCTGAGACACCTGAGACAACTGACGCAGAGACCACGGCGGTGAGCGGGGAGCGTGCAGTGTGGTCCATGACGTGACCTTCACGGTCGTAACTGTCGTTGCAGAACAGTGCCTACAGCCCCGCTTCCCACGCCGGGGCTGCTCCAAAAACCTTCAGCCCATTCCGGATTGCAGCTCTCATTTACTGCATAGCCTCCATCTCAGAGGACTATTTTATCTCTGTTTGGAGCAAATGTATTGAACGTTGAAGGACTTGCAGTACTTTTATCCCAAAACATAACAATGTGTAATATGGAGATGAAATTATTCAACTCCTTTGACAGAATAAAAATGTATTTAATACAGATATTGGTTTCCGAAATGTATTGTCCCAAAGGCTTATCACTACGACCAATCAGTTTTGCGTGCTTATCATAGTATATTATATAAATGCATTGTACATTCTTTTATTAAGTGTCCAGATAAATAATAACTTCCTTCGTACTATATGTTTTGATACGCATTAACGTTTGTAAACGTTTAGTCACGGCCTTCAATTGATAACTCAAGTTTAATTTATTAGTAGCCTTGATTAGTCACGGTATTTCCTTGCTTTCCTTATACATTACTATTACAAACGTCTGCCATGAAAACTCGTGATTGACACCAAGAATCGTTAAATATCTGTTTCTAGTCGTTCGACCTTTGCCAAGAAATGCAGTATAATATTAGTAATATGAATTAGATTTGATTTTCGTAATACGCACGTTATGGGAATTAAGAGATGTAATAAGAGCGCTCTGTGTAAGTGTTTACATGATATTAATACGATCCCGAGTGGTTTATTTTCGCAATGTTGCTCCAGCAAATGTCAAAAACAAAAAAAATTGTCGAGGATAATTCAAGAATGATAAAATAAGTGCAAAAACGATGTATGATTAATTACGATAAAAACGGCGAAGAACGTTAACCGAAACCAACCTACCGTTACAACATGCGACATCGGCGCATTTGCGAACGCTAGTGCCTCTGACGTAAAGACTCCTGCCGCCGGGGCCGAGCAGCGGTCCGACGCGCGGTACGGCACGGCGCGGCGCGGCGCGGCGCGGCGCGGCGCGGCGCGCGAGACCTTCGCGGGGACCGAAGTCCGCCCCGCGGCGCCAAGGCCGCCTGCGCTCACCGCTAAAACGGCGCGGGCCAGGATCAAGGCCCCTGCGCCGCTCCCTAGCGCCTCCGCCTCCGCGATAACGGCACGCGGGGACGCGCTGCCCGCGCGCCCGCCGCGCCAACGTTTGCCGTCGGGCGGAATATTCGCGAGGCAGTATGGTATCGGTTTTCATTCGGTAGAGCAGGGTACGAATTTACGGAAGGGGTGGTTGAGATCGCATCCTATCCTAGAGTGTTTGGTGCTTCCTGTTGGATAAGTATTCATTTTTTCCATGTTAGGGGAATCATTAATTTACATTAGGGGACTGGTTTGTGATGTCCACTGTTACAAGAGACATTACACATTACACATTACACATTAAAGAATGCAAAGCAAGTCAATTTGGAAAGAAAACATTTTCAAGGCTGTTCTTAGGATACAGTCAGATTTGTTGCGTAAACTTAGGTGTTTTTAAGTTCACTCATCAATTCTTTGATTCGTCCTCTCCAGATGTTATATCTCCCTCTAAACAAAATTGAATATTTGCATCCTGCTTTCGATCGGTAAGTGGCCGCGAAGGATCCTCAGAAATGACCCACAATTAGAGAAGGTTCATAAGAATTGGTTTCAAGGCAGTAAATGCAATTTCCAAAAAAAACTGTTAGTAAATATTGTACTGTGACATAACTCGTTAATATCTTAGGTATCCCACTCCTCCTACATTCTACTTCGGATCTTGACCTTCCGCGTTCTGTCTCAGCTACAGATATCCAGTTTGGGGGAGGATATCTAATTAGATTGTTTAAGAAATGAAACGGCACCGCATTGGATGGAATGTGTACTTGGTTATTCCATTTACACATCCTCAAGAATTGTGCAATATTTGTCTTGTAAACACATCGAAACTCATTAACCAAAAATTCAAGATCGCATCACTGATATTAGCTGTTTGAACGTCACGTCTCGGCTTACTGCAGACCCATTTGATCGCACTACCTTCTTAGTTTGTTAAACACATACTATCTGAGCTCTCAACTAACTTTATTTATAGAGTTACGCTAAAAGAACCTTCCACCCCAGCACCTGGCAAGTGATTTACCAAGAATCCGAGATCGTGTCGCGTCGCGTCGCGTCGCCCGCGGCCTGGGGGCCATTTGGATGGGCGCGCCGTGGCGGCCAGGTGCCGCGGGCGACGATAACCCTCGCGCGCCGCGCCGCGCCGCGCGGTGCCGCGCCGTGTCGTTCGTGGAAGCCGTGGGGTCGGAGGCGATAACGCGCCGACAGCCGCGCGCCGCGGGAGAACGGCCGCGACATCCATGTTGCATGAGCCGCCACCAACGCGCGGCGAAGCGGCTGCGGGGGCGTGCGACCGCCGGCGGAGGCGGCCCCGCGCGGCGCCGCAGCAGTGGGCGGAAACGCGCCCAAGGTGAAAATGAAATAGCAACAACAGGAATAATAATTATATATACGCATATACTCGCAGGGTGTCCGGGAAAGA